ACTGACAGAGTAGCAACACATTTGACGGAAAATGTCATGGTTGTATAATGAATTCTTCTCCGGCTACCAGCCATATCAGGCAGTTTAATGGAGAAAACACCAGCGTCTGAAGAACCATCTTTGTCCTTGTCCTCAGGGTACTGAAGTTGTAGGAGACGGTTCTCAGAACGTTGGTGTTTTCTCCATTAAACCACGTGACTCAGCTGATAGCCCTAGAAGAATTCAATATACTCAGTTGTCGTGAAAGCTTCCGTTCATGTCATGGCTATAGTGAAGCCAGAACAGTCTGGCGTGGACACCTGGTGCCTTTCTGAGTCCTGGGATGTCACACTGGCTCTTATTTGTAAAATTAGTTATGTCTCATATTGACAGCGTGTCCCCTTCTCGAAGGTATCACCACCTTGTCGGAGGCAATCTGCCGGGTGAGGAGGCTTGCGTGCTCATATGACCCTTAGGGCTATGCCGGCCTGAGCTTCGGCTCATGGTAGGGTCACCCAAGCCGGACAGGTCTAAGGAGATGCGCTAGACTAAGAGTGATACCCTGGCCCTCCAGGTTGGGGGTTGGGTGTAGGGCTAACAACCTTTCACCTTTAAAAAAATATGTGTTACGAAAAAATCAACCAAGCCTCGGATCAGGACGGACTCTTTGGCACGACCACGGCAATTGAAAAAGGACATGAGATTTGGTACTTGGAACATTAGGAGCCTCTATAGGGCTGGGGCACTGAAATCAGTGAGTAGGGAATTAAAGAATTACAAGTTAGACTTAGTGGCAGTGCAGGAAGTGCGATGGGAGGGGGAGGGCACGATCCCAGTGGACAATTTTACATTTTTCTATGGAAAGGGGAATGACAATCATCAGCTAGGGACGGGTTTTTTTGTTCATAGCAGAATTAGGGCAGCAGTTAAGAGAGTAGAATTTGTTAGTGACAGGTTGTCTTACGTAATTTTGGAAGGACGTTGGTGCGACATCATTGTCCTTAATGTTCATGCCCCAACTGAAGACAAAAGCGATGATATCAAGGATAGCTTTTATGAAGAATTGGAATCAGTATGTGATACATTTGGCAAGTATCACATGAAAATTCCGCTAGGAGATTTCAATGCAAAAATTGGGAGGGAGGATATCTTCAAACCCACAATAGGCAGCGAGAGTCTCCATGCACTTAGTAATGATAACGGTCTTAGAGCAGTAACCTTCGCTACGTCAAAAGATTTAATTGTAAAAAGTACAAAATTTCCACACCGTGATGTTCATAAATACACTTGGACTTCCCCAGATGGCAGAACACACAATCAAATAGATCATGTTTTAGTAGATAAGAGAAGGCAGACAAATGTAATTGATGTGAGATCATTCAGAGGAGCAGATTGCGACACTGATCATTATCTGGTGGTAGCAAAAGTGAGGGAGCGGCTTTCAGTAAGTAGACGAACTAAACAAAATTTTGACACAGAAAGATTTGATTTGAAAAAATTAAGTGAGGGAGAGGCAAAGGAACAATATCAAGTTGAAATTTCGAATAGGTTTCAAATTTTAGAGACAAATGAGGATAATGAAAGTGTGGACATCAACAGGGAGTGGGAAAATGTCAGAAACTGCATCAAAATTTCAGCAAAAGAGAAACTAGGATACTACAGGAGAAAGCAAAATAAACCGTGGTTTGATGAAGAATGTTCAAAATTAATAGATCGAAGGAAGCAAACAAAATTTCAATGGTTGCAGAACCCAAACAAAACAAATGCGGATAATCTATGTAACGTGAGACGTGAGGCTAGTAGAACCTTTAGGACTAAGAAAAGGGAATACCTGAAGGGCAAAATTGCTGAACTTGAGACAAATAATAAGGAAAAAAACATCAGAGACCTGTACAGAGGCATTAATAACTTTAAGAAAGGATATCAACCCCAGACTAATTTGGTAAAGGATGATAGTGGCAATTTGCTTGCAGATCCAATAAAAATTGTGAATAGGTGGAAAAATTTCTTTAGCGAGCTCTTAAATGTTCATAATACTGGTGATATTAGACAGATTAAAATGCATACAGCTGAACTGTTGGTGCCAGAACCTAGCTTAGATGAAGTGGAACTAGCCATTGGGAAGTTGAAAAGTTATAAATCTCCAGGAATTGATCAGATTCCGGCCGAATTAATTAAAGCAGGTGGCAAAGGGTTGCATATGAGGATCCATAAGCTTATTCAGTTAATTTGGGATAAGGAAGAGATGCCACATCAATGGAAGGAATCCATAATTATTCCTATTTATAAGAAGGGGGACAAGACTGAGTGTGGTAATTACCGAGGAATATCGCTGCTATCAACCTCATACAAAATTCTATCCAACATTCTTTTGGCAAGATTAACCCCATATGCGAATGAAACTATTGGGGATCATCAGTGTGGGTTCAGACGAAACAGATCAACGATTGATCAGATCTTTTGCATTCGTCAGATACTAGAGAAAAAATGGGAGTTCGGTGGGACTGTACATCAGTTATTTATAGATTTCAAAAAAGCCTATGACTCTGTGAAGAGAGAAGTGCTATATAATATTCTTATTGAATTTGGTATACCAAAGAAGCTAGTGGGTCTAATAAAAATGTGCTTAAATGAAACCTGCAGCAAAATTCGAGTAGGTAAATATGTATCTGAGACATTCCTCATCAAGAACGGTCTAAAACAAGGAGATGCTTTGTCTCCCTTGCTCTTTAACTTTGCGCTAGAATACGCCATCAGGAAGGTCCAAGGTAGGCAGGAGGGTTTGCAATTGAACGGGACACATCAGCTATTGGCATATGCTGATGATGTTAATTTATTGGGGGACGATATAAATACAATAAAGAGGAACGCAGAAGTTTTACTAGAGGCTGGTAGACAAGTGGGGCTGGAAGTAAATTCAGAAAAAACTAAGTACATGTTAGTATCTCGTCATCAGAAGACAGGCGGGCAAAATTATCTTAGGGTAGCTAATAAATCCTTTGAAAGGGTTACAAAGTTCAAATATTTGGGAACAACAATAACAAATCAAAATGATACTTGTGAGGAAGTTAGGAGGAGACTAAATTCCGGAAATGCTTGCTACTTCTCAGTCCAAAATATTTTGTCTTCCCGTCTGATTTCTAAGAACCTGAAAATTAAAGTATACAAAACAATAATCTTGCCTGTTGTTTTGTATGGGTGCGAAACATGGTCTCTCACTCAGAGGGAGGAACACAGATTGCAGGTGTTTGAGAATCGGGTGTTGAGGAGGATATTTGGGCCTAAGAGGGAAGACGATGGGGCGTGGAGAAAACTGCACAATGACGAGCTTAAAAATCTGTACTGCTCCCCCAGTATTGTGAGGGTGATTAAGTCGAGAAGAGTGAGATGGGCGGGACATGTAGCGCGCATGGATGGGACAAGAGGTGTGCACCGGGTACTGGTTGGGAAACCTGAAGGGAAGAGACCGCTGGGGAGACCTAGACGAAGATGGGAGGATAATCTCAGGCGGGATCTATGGGAGATAGGAGTTGAAGGAAACTGGATTTTGTTGGCCCAGGACAGGGTCCGGTGGAGGGCTTTGGTTAATTCGGTGATGAACCTTCGGGTTCGGTAAGCCATCTAGTTAGTTAGTTAAGACGAACTAAGTAAAATATTAATTAAGCTTTACGTGGTTTTGTAAAACTGTATGTCTTGTTTCTTACTCTGCATAAATAAACCGAACATTAAATATATATAAAACAGGGAAGTAAACAAAGTTCCATAAGAATCGTTGTTCTCATACGTCTTCGTCATTACAACGCAGAAAAATATTAAATGATTAATTATATACAAAAATTAATATAATCTACTTTCTCGCCCGCAAGAAAACATCACGTCTCAACTAACACCACGTCATTTGGAGTTTGAAGTAAAAGTATTTAAAGGGGACATTCAAAGACTTGATGGGCGATGTCCGAGAACAAAAGTTATAATTTATATGACATACACGATACAAAGCAATCTAAATCATTTCCACGACTTTATTTATGCTATATAAATTGATCTCGATCTTGTTTTCATAGTAAATAATTATACAAAAATTTATTAATCTTCCCTTAGCAATGCAATGAACAACTTAACTGAGACCTTTCTCCTGGACCCTAGAAATTATTCACTTTCTCTGATACTTTCTCTCGGTTGCTTCAGAATGGGCACATCTTGCATAAATTATGATACAGATAGTTTGTTCCTCTACGGTGAGACGAGTACATTCGGCTCTGGAGATTTGACGGAGAAAACTTCGAGGTGGGTGCGCATGTGTGTGGGGAGGTTTTGTCGGCTTAGAAGGGGGGGGGGTGATTCGGAGAGACCTCTTCTCGCCAGCACACGAACGGCGACTAGAGTTTGCGCTGTGGATCCGCTAGGTAACGTTCTCTCGGTTTTTATTTGGCTGTTGGTGTTGTTTTGGCATTTCGGTTGCCCGTCCGAATTGGTATTGATTTTGTTGTGTTTGTGGACGGGGCAACCACCGTCTTTGGTGTTTTCCCTGGCCCCTGGGAGTGGTCAAGGCTGGAGAGATGAATAGGAGTTGTTACCGAGAGTAGAGCCGAGTCGTCGTTTTTTTTCTTATATGTTTTGTTTGTTGGTGTCTTTTGTTAGAAGTAGTGTAATTAACGACCCTGTGTGACACGTATGTATTGTAATGATGTTTCGACTTTGTTAACCTGTATTAAGAAAGTAAATGGTTTTGTTTATAATTTTATACTCCTGTGTCCTCGAGTTTGTTTTCTGTGAGAGGGTGTTACACCCATATTCAGGGGCGTAAGCCAAGAGGACCAGGGACACATAGAACTGGAAACTCCTCCCCCATTCGACTGTTGTTGAAAAGGGGAGAGTGGATCACACCTCTGGTCAATGTGGGCAAGTAGTTCACTGACACATTAAGGTCATATTCTTATTTATCTTTTATACTGAACAATGAAATTTATTCCCACATGACAGTAAATTTTCTTAATACAATTTGTATTTTAAATAAAGAATTAATTCCAACTAATTTTATGAACACAAGTAATAAAAACAAAGTTATGTTTCAAACAAACATGGAAACAAAAGTTGTCTCTCATTATCCTAAATACAGAAACATGAGATAAATAATGGTTCTGAATTTTGTCAACACAGAACTAAAAATACGTGAATCTTTCTTCTTTACATAAGTGCTGAACTGTTAAATTTCTCGGACAATATACTTTGTCCACTTCACAAAAGTTTTAATTCCCTGCAGGCTTTAAGACAAATCTTCCTCAACCTTTTTCAATTTATCTTCCATATCCTTCATTTTATTCCTCCTTTAGAAACTCCTGACACTTTTTATCCACTGCAATAATAATTGAATCATAATCTATTTCACCCACAGCCTCTTCTTCTTCAGTAGAACTGTCTTCATCATCTGGCGTACAACACGCTTCAACCTGCAGTCAGTACAGTAAATGTAAATAAATTACTCTGAATAAACCAATGACAAGACTCCTC